AGACAACTCAGTGGTTTAGAGCACTGGTTGCTCTTCTAGAAGATCCAGGTTCAATTCCCAGCACCCTCACAACAGCTCACAACTGTCTGTAACTCCAGTTCTGGGAGATCTGACACCCTCACACAGACATACTTGCAGGCAAAACACCAATGCACATAAAATTTAAAAAAAAAAAATTTTTTAAAGAAAGAAAGAAAAGACTGGGTGGTTCCATTGAACGGTGCTTGGCTAGCAAATGTGTGGCCCTGGGTTTGATCCTCAGTACTGCTTTATTCCTTTGCATGTTTACACTGCATTTTGTCATCAGTCCACATCTGAGTTGTTTCCAGCTTGGGCTACTTGTGAACAATGCTGCCCCAAAAGTGGATGTAGATTATACATTTGAGATCCTGTCCTTAATTTGAGAGAATATATACTCAGAATTGGAATTGTGTCATGTGATAACCCTCGTGTGTGTGTGTGTGTGTGTGTGTGTGTGTGTGTGTGTGTGTGTGTCCTTCAGCCACACTGAAGAACGCTATTTTGTTTGCTGTAATAGCTGCAGTATTTCACCCTCCCACTAATACACAAGGTTCTCATTTCTCTGCACCCTCACTAACACACTGCTTTCTCTTGCAGAGGGTGGCTGGTGCAGTCTAGTATTCATTTGTTTGCTCTGTTTGATCTGGTTTGGAGTTGTTTTTGTTTTCTTCTTGTTTTTAAGATGATTCCACTATGTAACCCAGGCTGGCCTCAAACTCCATAGCAATCCTCCTGCCTCAACCTTCCAAATGCTGGAATTACAGTTCTGAGTTGCCTTACTCTAACGATGAGTGGTATTCTGACACAAACTAACAAATAAATGGATGTGAATATAATGGGGTTGGAGGGAGGTGACGGGCGCTTGCCGCTCCTGCATAAGATGCCTTTCAGTTCCCAGCACAACCATCTGTAACTCCAGCTGCAGGGGATCTGATGCCCTCCCTTTTTTTGGCCTCCTTAGCTACCAGGCATACACACAGTGCACACATATACATACAGACGAAACACTCATACACCTAAGATAAAAATAAATAAATCTTTTTTCATGTGTATGCTATTCCATTGCCTAACAGATGCCAAGCATGGGTGGGTTAGGGTGAAAAGTTCCATCCTCTGCGCCCTTTTGCTGGTCGACTGGCTATTTGAATATCTTTAATTTTTTAAATCACATTTGTTTGTGTCGGAGGGTGGTACATACACACCACAGCACATGTGTGGAGGTCAGAGGACAACTTTCAGGGGTCATTTCTCTCCTTCCACCACGTGGGTCCCAGGGCTCAAACTCAGGTCATCAGGCATCTTTAGTTACTGAGCCATCTCACCAGCCCCAATGCGTATCTGCTGTGGGATGTTCTGTATGTCCTGTGGGAGCCCGTTCTTGGGTTCCTTGTGACTTTACCCAGCAGGTCCGCATAGAGGATGATTAGGACCACGGGCCTGAGTGCAGGTGTCTGCACCTCTGCAGATGGTCTGCACTTGGCTGTGCTGTGTGATGGTCTGTATGTCAAGTTGCTCTGATTGGTCAATGAATAAAACACTGACCGGCCCATGGCTAGGCAGGAAGTATAGGCAGGACTAACAGAGAGGAGAAATAAAAGAACAGGAAGGCAGAAGGAGTCACTGCCAGCCGCCACCATGACAAGCAGCATGTGAAGACTCCGGTAAGCCACGAGCTACGTGGCAAGGTATAGATTTATGGAAATGGATTAATTTAAGCTATAATAACAGTTAGCAAGAAGCCTGCCATGGCCATACAGTTTGAAGCAATATAAGTCTCTGTGTTTACTTGGTTGGGTCTGAGCTGCTGTGGGACTGGTGGGAGACAAAGATTTGTCCTGACTGTGGGCAAGGCAGGAAAACTCTAGCTACATGTATCTTTTTTAAATTTAATTTTAATCTTTATTTTGGTACTAGAGATTGAACCTTGGGCCTTATAGAAGCACTCTACCACTGAGCTCTACGCCCAGCCCCACGTCCCTCTTTCCTTTTTTTCTCCAAGAGAGAGTCTTACTATGTGGGCCTGGCTGGCCTCAAACTCACAGAGATCCACCGATCTCTTTCTCCCGAGTGCTGGGGTAAGGTCATGTGCCGCCATGCCTGCTTGTGTCCATCTTCTTTAGAGTTGTTTGCTCAGGTCCTTTGCCCAGTCTTTAATCAGATTGTTTCCAAAGGGGTGATTTATGTGAGTTCTTTCCACACTCTGAGTATTAGCTCCTGGCCTTCAAATCTTTGTCACACTCTGTCCTCTCATATAATGTCTGACCTCATTATTTACAAGCCACCCAGCTCCCAGCTCCGTCCCTCCTGCCCCTCGCCACCCACTTGAGTCACTATGGGGCCACGTTTGCTCACACGTGCTCACACGTGCTCACACGTGCACACACGTGCACACACGTGCTCACACACGCACACACACTTCTGGCTCTTTCCCTGCTCTCAGGGCACCCTCAGCCTCCTTGCTATTTGATCCCCAGCAGGTCTGGCATCTGTCTGCTGTGTGGGCTCCCCACACAGAGCCCTGTACTGCTTGCTCTCTCTAGCACTATGTCCCTAGTGCCTGGAACAGCGCCTGACACACAGCAAGTGCTCAGTGAAAAGTTAACTAGTTTAACACACTGAAGGGTTAAAATCAGAAGCAGCAACGGACTTCTGTGACACACTGACACCCTCTCACATACACAAACACCCTTATACACATATCTATATATATCCTCACAATCCTTACACACTCAGACTCCACTGCTGTCACACCAATACCCCCAGGAGGCCTGGCTTGCACGGCCTTAGAGCTTGCTCTAGAACACACAATCTGGACTTGGTATGCAGACACACAACAGGCCATGAAAATGAGCCTTGATGAGGCTGTCCTGAGCTCCTGCATACCTCTGGTGCTGTGGGCTTTCCTACCCTGTACGTCCAATCTCCCTCTGACCCCTCCATTCCCAGCCTCCAGGCCTTGCACCTCTCCATGGGGCATTGTTTTTCCTCCCGACCAAACCTATGAGGGCCACCTCCTCTTGTTGTGCCTATGGAGCCCCACAGCCATGACTTCCACTGAGAAACTGGGGCCAAGGGACCCACTGATGATCACGTATCACCCCAACAAGGCCCCTGCCTTTTTCCTAGGGCAGAACACCTCAGTTTCTCCATCAGAGTCAAGTCTGTGGCTGATGGTCCTTCAAATCGGACAGCCTGGGGACGAAGTCAGCTCTTGCCCTGCCCTGCATTCCGACTGTGACCAGGCCAGGCCACTCCCCCCACTGGGCCTGAGCTCTGGCTTCAGTGACTCGGATGGCTCAGGGCCGCTGGCCTGTAGTTAGTTCATTGTTCAGACAGTGTGCTCGTGGTCCTGGTGGGATCCTTGTGTTGAGTGGGCCCGCATGACTGCAGCCTCCAAAGGAAGGGCAGCGAGGCTTCCTCTAGCTTAGGACGAGCGGAAGTGAGCTAGAGAGCAATGGAGAGGATGGAAAGAAAGAAGGGGAAGGATGGAGGGTGAGAGAGGAAGGAAGGAAATCATTTATTCATGAGGCCGTGGGTGGAGACAGAAAGGGCCGTCACAGGTAGGCAAGCACATCCCAACAGGAGCCAGAAAAGGCACATGGTCTGGCTCACGCCCTTCCTTCCAGAAGCTCCGGACCTGGTGTCGGCATCACGGTTGGGAGACGCGATGTCCCCAGCTTGGCCTGCCCTGGGCTTCCTGAAAGGCAGCCACAGGTTATGGAAGAAAGGCTGGATCATGACAGCAGAACACCCACCGAGAGTTGGGGTTGGCGGGGATGGGGTGGGGGACAGCAGCGTGAGTGTTAAAGAATGACGTCTCACCTGTGAGCAGCTCAGCTGGCCATGATGTGCTTCACAAATGCTGGAAAGAAAGGGGAAAGGAGTGGCTGGGATTCCCGGGGGGCAGCCAGGGGTGGAGCTGGGTACATGACCCCTCCCCAGAAGACCCTGCTTTGCTGAGTCTCCATGACTGCTCCCCAGAAGTTTCCTAACCCAGCTGAACTGCGTCCCTATACCTCTGACTGCCACCTGATGAGCTGGGTCATCCCCCTGCCTTCTCCCCAGGAAACCCCCATCCTGCTGAGCTCACCTTCATAGTTGATGCAGCCGTTGGAGTCTTCTTGACCCGCCATCAATTTCTCCACCTCATCTTCAGTCAGTCGCTCACCTGGCAGGGATGGAGGTAAGTCCCACCACCCAGAGGCTAACTGACGGGGGAGCCCGTTGAAGCCCTCTGGATGGTAGGTTTGCCACCAGCATCGCTCCCAAGGTCATGGACAGCCACCACCCCTGTTTCCAAGCCCAGAACAACCAATCATAGGTCAAGAAGTGAGTGACCTTGACCTTGAGATGGAGACTTGGGCCCTCTGAGCCTAGGCATCTTCACGCACATACTGTCCTCTGTCCCTGCTGGGTTTGCAGGAGTCCCCCCCCACCATAGCAGTCTCTTGGGGGTAACCCTTTGAGACTGGTAGAAGGGTCCATGGAAGGGACAGAGACTTCTCCTTGCTCCACAGACAGTCTGAAATTTCTCTTTTCTTTGCATGTGTGTGTGTGTGTGCATGTGTGTGTGCATATGTGTGTGTATGCGTGCGCGTGTGCACACACACGCATTGGTGTTTTGCTTGCATGTATGTCTGTGTCAAGGTGTGAGATTCCCCTGGAGTTACAGACAGTTGTGAGCTGCCATGTGGGTGCTGGCAATCAAACCCAGGTCCTCTGGAAGAGCAGCCAGTGCTCTTAACCACTAAGCCATCTCTCCAGCCCCAAATTTTCTTCTTTTTT